ATTTCATTGTCCATCGTCGATTTTTTAAGGTTTCGGTTGTATTTTCAGACCGCAATGTTACATTTGGATCCACTGCCGAAAGCAATCTGCCAAATCCTGTCGCTTTTCTTCATCCTCCCTTTGGATTCAATGTACTTGAGTTCGTACCAGAGTGAAGAAGACAACGTGTTTCCGAACCGGTGCAGCGCCATCCTGGAGGCCTCCATGTGCTCCGATGAGAGCTGCAGGTTCTTCTGGAGATGGTCGATGACGGCGCGGGCGCGGGCGTTAATGCAGAAGTGTTCAAAGGACCAAATTGTGTTAAAATTGCAAAGTTAAGGACTTAATTGGTTAAAAATGAAAGTCGAGGACCAATTTGTGAATTTAGCTATAGTTGAGGGACCATTTTGGATATTTACTCATTTAAAAAAAAAAAACTTTTAGGGTACTTTTTATGTTTTAATACTAAATTAAAATATTATTATTACATTATATTTTGAAGGTGAATTCGAATGGTAGAAATGCAAATAAAATAGTAAAGAATTACAAATATACTGATATAGCAGTATGGTTTGATTTTGAAAGTGAAAAAGAATTTAAAATAAAAATAGTTTTAATAATATTTGGAGAAAAAAATTAAAAAAATTATAAAATATATTTTATTTTTTTTTATCAAATAAAAATGACACGTGCATTGAAAATTAAAATAAAATAAAATATACATCATTACCTACCATTTGAACAAACTGGGATAAATTTCAGTGGGCCCCATGCTCGGGCTACAAGTTGTCGGAGCCCACGTAGATATGATGGAGAAAGGTTTTTTTTTTTTTTTTTTTTTTTTTTTTTTTTTTTTTTGTTGTGTGTGTGTGTGTGTGTGTGTGAGATAAGTGGAGAAAGTTGGTATAACAGAATAAGTGTATAACTTATCTATTGCCAATATATATATATATATATATATATAGAAGAGAGCTCATATGCGGCGGGGTCTTACGGTGCGGCGGTGAGGTCAAATTCCAGAATACACCAACAGTGTTAATAATATGCACCAACAGTGTAATAAAAACACACCCCAATGAAATGTAATAAAACATCACAAAATACATATATATTACGGTGCGGCAGTGTCTTACGGTGCGACAATTTCTTACGGTGCGGCAACACCAATAGTTCAACAAATACGCACCATCAACGTTAGGAAAATACACCACACAAAACAGAGTAAACAGAGCCCCGCATCACTAAACACACACCATTAGGTGTGAGTAAAAACACCATACATTGTTCGGAAATACACCATTGGGGGTGGTGAGTTATATTGTGTATTTTTTTGAGTCTGTTGTGTATTTTGTGATGTTTTATTGCATTTCATTGTGGTGTGTTTTAATTACACTGTTGGTGCATATTGTTAACACTGTTGGTGTATTCTGGAATTCCGTCGCACCACCGCACGGGAAGACCCCGCCGCATTTGAACTTTATTATATATATATATATATATATATATATATATATATATATATATATATATATATATATATATATATATAACTTATCTATTTAATGTCATTGCCCTATGTAAATATCGTGCTAGTCTTGTGTGGAATTATTTTATAAATTAAAAATTGATTTTCGTCAGATTTTCTATCACAATATCATAAATAGGTTTATATTACACATAATTTTTAACTTTTCAACTAAAATGTTATACTTTTAAACTAATAACTAATAGTTTTCAAAAAAAAAAAAAAAAAACTAAGTACTTTCCAAAAAACAGGAAATAACAAATTTAAAGTAAAATATATTTCTTTTCACCCAAAATTTAAAATTTTAACAATAACTATTACAATTAAAATTAAAATTAAATACTTGTAAAAGAAGTAGCACCTAATAGATTTAAAGTAAAATCTAGCACTTTTAAGCTAAAATCTAATACTTTTGAAATAATAAATATTTTTCAAAAAGAAACACATAATAGATTTTTTTTTTCTTTTCAAAATACTCATAACTCTTCACAAAGAATCTAAGCCCGCACCATCAATATTTTTGAACCTATGACCAGTCATATGAAAAGGTGACCAAAGTACCATCACACTACATAGTAGTTGGCAACACATAATAGATTTAAAATAATAAAGCATATCATTTTTCAGTTACATGTAATACTTCTTAAATATTAATTATTATTATTATTATTATTTTTAATTTAAAGTTAAATATTTGTTCATAAGTGACAAACAATATATTTAAAGAAAAACTTATTACTTTTTACGTAAAGATAATATTTTTAAAATAATATTTATTACTTCATCCGTCTCATTTTATGTATCAGGTTTGATTAATGATGATTGACTGAAGTTATTTTTAATTCAATTTTTCATAATATTAAGTTTTGGTATTATGAACAAAATTTTTATATTTAAAAACTCATTAAAAGTACCATTAAAGCCGCCGTATTTGTTGACACACAGCAGGTTACTTACGGTGCTATCATCAAGGATGATCAAGGCACATTTCTTGCGACAAAAAGGGCACATTACTTACGGCGCTATCTTTCTTTATGCTCATTTTGTGGAGGTGGTGGCCGTAAAGGAGGTTCTATCTTGAGTCAAGGAACGAGGTATGAGGTCATGTGAAGGTCTTAATCTATTTAGGTTGTTAGATGGTTGTGAATTTGCTCAATGGCAATCAATCGAATCTCTCATTTTCAGGTTGTGTTATTAATAATTGTCGTCTGTTTTGTCGATACTTTGAATATTGTCTTTCAAGTATATTTCTAGATCAGCGAATAAGGCTGCCCATGTATTAGCTAGGGTTGTTCGTACTCAGTCTGGTCCATTTATTTGGCATTCTATTATTCCTTCTTGTATTGAACGTTTAATTTAATGAAGTTTGTTTGGTTGGTTTAAAAAAAAAAAACACAAAATTCAAATTTAAAAATAAGTAAAACATACTAATGAAAATAAACAAAGAATAAAGAGTTGGTTTAACCAATGAATAGGGATGGCAATGAGGCGGAGCGGGAGCGGGGAGTATACTCCCCGTCCCCGCTACCTGGACCCCGTCCCCATCCCGACGGAGAATTGAAAAAATCCGCGTCCCCGCCCCTACGGAGAATTTGACAGGGATGGAGAATCCCCATCTCCGATCAACCTATAATCAAAGTCTCAAATTAAGATAATTTTTAAAAATACAAAAAGAAAAAAAATAAAATCCAAAGTCCTAATAAAGTTATTTTTAAAACTATAGTATAATATTGAGTACTTAGCGATGTTTAATTGTTTATTGGGATTTTAGATTTTAATTTTATAAATTAAATTAAGTGGATTACTTAAGTGGTGACAGTGAAGTAATCAAATAAAACTAAGTAACTAATAATATAATTCTTAATTTTTAATATATATAATTTTTTTTTTTAATTTTCGGGGACGGGGAGGGTTATCCCCGTCCCCCGCGGAAAATTTAAAAACTTCCCCGTCTGATGTGAAGGAGTATCCAAGTAAAATATAAGGTGAAATCTCAATCATTGATTAAATTTAGATCAATTGTCCAGAATGAAGAAATTTTTTTTAGAAAACACAGTGGCAATTTGATAATTTTTGTATGTAAGTGCATATTTTTGGTCTTTGGGTGCATTAATTTTTGCCTTCGAGTGCATATTGTTATGCCTTGTAGTGCACATGGTTGTGCCTTGTAGTGTACATTGTTGTGCCTTGTAGTACACGTTTTTAATAGGCTAGTTCCACAGACCTGTTGCTAAGTATATATTTTTTTCTTTGGGTGCATTATTTTTGCCTTCGAGTGCACATTGTTGTAGCTTGTAGTGCACATCGTTATGTCTTGTAGTGCACATGGTTAACATGATTTAGCAGGTTTAACAAACCCATTGCTAAATCTCATGAAAGAGGGAAAGAAATGAGTTTAATAATCCCGTGAAGATTAACTTAAAATAGTTCTCAACTATAATGATTTTTCTCTATGAATTGTCATTGTCCTATTAATTTCAATAGAACTCTTATACGGATTGCAAATTATCCCAGTAATTTCAATATTTACAGATTACAAATTATCCCAATCAATTCGTAAAAGAGTGATGATTTATTTAATCATTATAAATAAATAAAAGAAAAACCAATATTAAAATTACTGAATTGTCCATTTATTTAACACCAATTTGACGAAATAACAAACGGATGGCTACATTGAACAAAAACACAAAAGTCTTGGACTACATAAATCACCAAAGTTATTTAGGACAAAATTGAGAAAACCCACTATAGTCGAGGACCATTTTGGATATTAATTCTTTAATAAATATTTTGTGCCTTCCTAATGTTCTAGTGCACATTGTTGAGCTTTCAAGATTTGAACATAATGCAAAGACAATAAATTAGAAGTGTAATTTTTTTTTTTTTTTGGAGATGTTGATCTGGACATATCAACATCTAAGATTTATCTGCATATTTTACCTGAGCCTCTCACCGCACTTGATACTAAACCTATATATATATATATATATATATATCATGGTTGCAGTAGGCGCTAGGCGCTAGTCGAGCGACCGGGCAGCGCCTAGGCGGGCACCAAAAAAATTAAAAAAAATAGTGACAGATTTGTAGTTTGACAATTTTAATGAGGTTGTTTTCAACATTCAATCAAATAAAACATCTAAATAAATGAAATAATGATAATTTATAAGTCATAACGTCATACTAATATTAAAATCAATAATTAATGAAAGACGACATCGGTCAAAATCAGACAAAATCGGTCAAAAAAATCAAAATCAGTCGACTCGGCCGAGTTTGACCGCCGAGGCTGAGTTTGGCCGCCCAGGCGGCCTGGGCGGCCGACCGAGTTTTGGCTGCCTTTAGGCCAAAACGGCAAGGCTCGGTGCCGCCTAGGCGAGTTTTGCAACCATGATATATATATATATATATATATATATATATATATATATATATATATATATATATATATATATATATATATATATATATTCAGAGTTCCATACAACCAATGGAAAGTGTATGGGGTGAACAAAATCACAACTGCCCAAACTAGGAATCCGCTTCAATTTCCAGAATACACACTCCGGGTCGATGATTAATATATCTACAAAGATTAAGCACCAAGCAACAGATTCACAAATCACAAACATCCATATTATTTGTAGAATTGGTTCTGCACTACACAGCTGTCATTATTTTCTTTGGATTTCCCTGTATCAAAACACTGAAGGCATCTTATCTTAGCCCTCTTTTCTGTCAATGATTTGCCTTTTAAGAACCTCGTTCTCCTTCCGCAGTTTCATAATCTTCTGCTTCAGTGTTTCCACATGTCGATTTGAAGTTAAATCTTGTTGGGACTCTACCAGTTTTGTTCTGCTAACAAGCACTGAAACTCCAACCAATCATTTTACTCAAAGTGAAAGATTATAAAAGGAAACATCTCATTTTCTCCAAGTCTATAGATAAAGATGGCAATTTCAATCTGCCCCGAGGATAATCACCCGAATCCGCCCCATATATTCTTTTAAGTAATGGGCACTCGCAGTGTGGTGGGGCGGGAGTGGGTTTTCAAAAAGTTCACCCGATGCGGGTTGGGGGTGGGTGGAGAAAATATAAGGTGGGTTGGGTGATGGATGTAGCCCTCCCCGACCCATTGCCATCCCTATCTATAGACTATAGTTGAGTTTAAATCAGGCCTGATGAAGTTTTCAGGAACTGCGAAATAGAGCATATTCTTTTTCAAACAGCTAGCTAGGCCACTTACATTCTTTTTCCGAATCGTGGAGCTTCTTGTTCAACTCATTTTTCTCTTCTTGCTCAACCAGGAGGCAATCCCTCAAGCCCTGAATCTCATAATAATCTGACACAAAAGGTTTCTGACGTTTAACCGGTCAGCAGAACTTGACAGCAGAACAGGTAAAGAAAAGTAGCAAAGAAGTTTATTTGCACCCTTACATCTAGACTCTACATCAGAAGAAACTTGTTCTAATCTTCTTGCCAAAGCTTCTATGTGGTTCTTATGCACTGTTAAATCTTGGTGAAGCTGATTACGAATTGCTTCACTTGCCACCTTTTCAGTCTGGAGCTCTCTTGGCACCACAATAAAAAAAAATTTAACAACTAAGCAAAATCCCTTTGCATGGAATTTCTAAAAATCAGTCAAACACCATTCAGCAACAAGTGGATGAAATGAAACTCACCTGATTTGAGATTCCAAGTCTTGAATCCTCATTGCATGTTCTTGTTTGAGTGACTCAACAGCAATCCTAAATTCCTGGTTGCGAGTCCATTGGAAACAAATTGCAAAAACTAATCGAGTGAGTTTGGTCTCTATTCAATAATCTGAATATGTCAGTCTTTTACAGTTACCAGCAAGATGCCAAGATGTTAAAAAAAATAAAATAAAATTTCTTATGCTTTACAATCTTTTACAGAGTAAAATATTGTCCTCTCCGTGCAAAAAGGGTTTAATGGTTAAACTAGGGATACAACATGCATTATTCTACTTCATATTTATGATAAGAAAAATCTGTGTAAAGGAAGGTGAAAAAGCCTCAATATTTTATAAGGATGTGCATCAACTCACGTTTTCTTTCTGGGAAAGCTCATCATTTGCTTTTTTCAGTTCATCCTTCAAGACTTGGCAACTGGTATGGCTTTCAACCTGTTGCCTTGATCAAATAATCGAAAACAGTCGTCTTGATAGAGAAATAAAGCATAGAAAGGTCACTCAGAGCTCATTCTTTGATAGTTGTCACTTGGATATCATTTAAGTTCACCTATAAAATTTAAAGGCTAACTCTTAAAACACTACTTGCAGGGGAAAAATGAACCTGATCTGCCATTTTGTTAAACACATTGGTATAAATCTTTCTCAGCCGCTCATTTTCTGCATGAATTAAATATCCAGAGAATTATGTTATCAAAGATCTGCCTGGAAAAATGAGACCATATGTTAAAAAAAATAGGGTAATTTAGGTTTATACTATGATACCATATGAGACCATACAATTTTAATGATCTTATTCCCTTTTTTTAATACAAAAAGTAGGGGAACAAAAGAAATAAATTCATTAGGAAAACAGGAAGTTTAAAATCCATACAACTGCCCTTTTATAATTGAATAAACTATTTTTTGTCAAAAAGAAAGTGAAAATTTTCAAGTCTGATTTCTAACCAATGCCAAACTAAGGCTTCACTCCTTCACTAAGGGGATTACCGCAAGTTCTTTGTTTAAGGATAATATCTATATTCCTTTTTACCTTATATTGTGTTTGTATGTACCTTAATTTCAGCAAACCTTCTCTCTCTCCGTCTCTCTCTCTGATAATGTAAACCAAATAAGCAACAGGTTTTCAAATGGAAATTTTAGCCTATTGATTCATTTTCAAAAATTAAGTAAATAAATAAAGTATACTTCTAGCATGTTCATTTCAACTTAGAAGCCAACTCAAAGAAAGAGTTGTGGCTGTTTTCTGGATATGAAAGATATTAAAATGAAGGAGTGCCTTCAACCATTCAACCCACCTCACAATTTACCTGAGCTCTTCTATGCTTAGGCTTGACTTAACTAATTCCTTACAGAGATAAAAACCTGGCAGTCTGGCACCAGATCTCTTGAGCCATATTTTGAGCTCAACAATATGCAATGGAGAAGCACCAGATATCGTTAATCCTATCTTCTCTTACTCTCCATAAACACATCACGAAAACCCACCGAAAGTGTTACTCCTGATCAAATCAGTACACAACCACCACCTCTGAAAATCATTTCAGTTAGCCTCCTATTGCAGGGGACAGCACAAGCCAGTGTATGATTTAAAACCCATCCCCAAGGTCCTTTTGATATTTTTATAGTTGAACATAAAATCAAATGCACCCAAGACTTTTAGTTCTAGATATGGAACATGGAGAGAAGAGGAGGGTGGTTCTTTTTTCATGCAAAGCCTTAAATATAAAAAGTTCAACCGATTAAATGATGCCCCAAAATACAAGAGTTGGTGAAGTCTAGATGTAAGCAGCCATACTCATGCTTTTGCATTAGAGTGTTTCCGCCGCCTTGGCTGAATCAATTAGGCAGCAAATAAAATTTTCAGTTTCCTTATCTTTCTTAGATTAACTATTTTCTTCCGTTTCAATTCAATGAACTTTTGATTTTGATAAGCAAAAGTAAAGCTATTGAGGGCAGTATGGTTTCAATCAGAAAGAATGAGTACTAGCCTACCATACTCTTACCTATGCCATGCAGGAGCCAAGGCAACCTATTCATCAAGGATCAGCCTTGAATAACCCTCAACAAACCTGAGGTTGAGCTACCCAGCATTTAACTTAATTGATGTTTGGCCAAGGTCTTACTCCTCTCACTCAAGCCAATGCTGGCAGGGTTATCACTCAGATCATCTACACCACAAATAGTAATTGAAGAAATAAAAGAGAAATATAGCTCATATAGACTTTTACTTCATTTGGAACCTCGATTTATATTGATCCACCCCTCCTGAATCCCCAAACAAGTGAAAAGGACTTTGAGCATTCTACTTCTTTGACATGGCAACTAATCATAAGAAATGATCAAACAGTAACATTTTTTTTTATAGATGTTCCTTGAAAATGTTCTATACCACAAACATTAAGCCACAACAAACAAAACAGGCACAAAACATTTTAATCAAGCAAATCAAAACCAGAGACAAAAATGAAACACAAGCTGGAAGTCTCAAGCATAATAGAAATATTTTCTTCATGGTGACAATCACTCTTAATATATATATATATATATATATATATATATATATATATATATATATATATATATATATATATATATATATATATATATATATTCCATTCTAACCTCTCACGATTCCAGAACAAACATTTCAGTCACAATGTTAGGAGAACACAACTTCATAGCATTTTTGGGAAAATTCCAGATTCAAGTATGATCCTAGTAAATAAAACCGTAATTAATTTACAATTGATTCAGTAAATTATGTTCAATTTCAGTAAAAAGAAATGGAAAAAAAAAAATCGAGTGTATTTTACTTGAGAAATTAGTTCGAAATACATAGCGGGGTACCGGAAATAATTCAGAACAAACCAGATTGTAGGTTTTTTATTGTAAACTGAAGAGCATCTCTCTTCTTCACTTCTGCGTTGTAGTTCGAGTTCAAAGTTTGAATCTCTGCAATCGCGTTCTTAAATTCCTGAAGTTCAATTTAGCTAAAATAAATAAATAACGGGGAGTAAACACAATGTGCACGTCAGACACGTGTACGGGCTTACGTCACAGATATGATCGAAGCTGGAAGAGAGGGACTGGGTTGCTTCCTCGCTAATTGCCGCCATTGCAGAATACTGAGGTACCTTTGCAATTTTTCCTAATGCCGCCGAGTGTGTATATTTAAGGAGCAAATTACACTTTTGGTCCTGTGACTATTGGGGGTGTGTTAATTTGAGTACGTGACTTTTAAAACTAACAATTTAGTTCTTTAACTATCATTTTTTTAGCAGATTTGGTCCTCCAGGCCAAATTATCGGTGGAATTTGGCCGGAAAGACGTTCAAATTTTTAAATCAAACGATATTTTTTTTACAATTAAAAAGACCGAATTACCCCCACTAATATTTGATTTAAAAATTCGAATGTCTTTCCGGCCAAATTCCACCGTCAATTTGGCCAGGAGGACCAAATCTGCTAAAAAAATGATAGTTAAAGGACTAAATTGTTAATTTTAAAAGTCACGTACCCAAATTAACACACCCCTAATAGTCACAGGATCAAAAGTATAATTTGCTCTATATTTAAGTGCCGTTTAGTTTTTTTTTTAGTTTTTAGTTTTTTTTAGTTTTTTTTTTTACATGAAAATAGAAAATTTTCATAATATTTATTTTACAATTTATAAAATGCAGTTGAAAGTCTGCTTTCTTTAGCTTAATCTTCTGAGATAATTCTACAATAATTGAACGCCAAAAACAATACAGATAGAAGAGAGTGAACATTAGAAAAGGAAGAAAACGGGAAAAGCAAGAACTCCAAAAAGTGCGAAGCACCTTGTGCAGTAGTGACTTTTCTATATGGGAGGTTATGAGATCGAGCATCTGTAGAGGCGGTGTTGACTCTATTTTTTGTGCTTAAAAAAGAATTAAAAAGGTATGTATGAATATATATTACAATGTAATAGAGTCAGTAATTTTCAAAAAAGAATATACACGTACAACTGAAATATGAAAGGCTAAGATTAGTCTTGTGCAAGTTGAGAAACTTATGTATTAAAAAAATACATGTTAGAAAATAGGCTAAACATGAATAATGGTCATAACATAGAATATATTTTACAATACTCCCGCTTGACCATTACCAAATCATAATCATGCATCGTTAAAAATCCCACTATAAAAATTTTGTGAGAAAAACCTAGTCAATGAAAATAATACACGATGTATGTATAACCACCTATTACATGTTGTCTCATTAAAAACCTTAGGGTAAGAAAAATTCAGTGGGAAAAAACATAGCTAAGGGGGAAAAAAGTACAACCATAGGCTTTCAAAGCATACAAAAAAAAAAACAAAAAACAAAAAAACAAAAAAACAAAAACAAAACAAAAAAGAGCATAATCTTCAGAATTTTCAAGGTTTTTGGATTGTCTATTAAGTACATTTAGGGATTGTCGCTTACCCTGAAGACAACAATATTCCAAGCCCGTGTATCCTATTTTGTGAACATATTTCTCAAAAGTGAATGTAGGCAATGATTTAAGTAAACAAGTCTGTTAGATTGTCAATATAGTGAACTTTCTCGACAAGGATTTTACCACTCATCTAGAGTTCTATGTATGTAAAAGAACTTAGGTGCAATGTGCTTTATAAGGTTTTTCTTAATGTACCCATTTCTCATATGTGCAAGACATGCTGCATTGTCCTAATACAGGATAGTGAGAGTATCATTTTTACGCGCTATACCACATGAGTTGTGGATATGATGTATCAACTACATCATCCATATATAGTCTCGTGTTTGGGGTGGCCGGAGAAAGGAGGGTGGCAGCAGTCACAGTTCTTTCGCTGGAATTCGACGACATGATTTCAATGGAGGAGAGAGAAAAGAGAACACCTAGCTAGCTGATACCAGATGAGTGAACAATTCTCGTTAATTCAGAATAGACTGTTACAAAGATAGATAATAGATAGAGAACTAATATAACTAACCCTGTACAATAGCTAAAGGTTACAAGACTAATTCAAATACTATAAGTCTAAGTCTAGTGTCACAATAATTGTATCAATAATATAATACTACTAACAGTGATGCCTCATATAAAGTTATGATCTTTAAATGATTAAATGAGATAGCAACTACAGTCTATTTAACGGACCTCCAATAAATAGTTGTACTTCCATAGAGAAAAACATAACTAGTATGAAATTTGACATTGTGGGGATCAGACATATAACCAGCATTTGAGTAACCCACCAACGTAATATCCCAGTTACCCCCAAAATAAAGATAAAAAATCTTGTGTACATTGGAGATATATGAAACTGTGTTTTACTCAATTCCAATGTTTTTTGTTTGGAAAAACACTAAATCTATCTAGTAAATTCACTGAAAAAGTAAAACTAAGTCTCGCGTAATTAACTAGATAGAGTAGAGCCTCAATATCACTCAAATATAGAACTTTAGACCCTATAACATCATCATTGTCCCCATTACGCTTAAATGGATATTTGTATACTTCAAGATATCAGACCACCGTTTGAGTACTAAGTGAATGAAATTTATCCATATAAAATCTCTCCAGTCTTGTTTGTGTAATTCAACTAGTGTACGAAAATCCCATAAGGGAGATGTTTGATTTGCAGGCCAAAGCAAAACTTGATTTTACCCAAGTCTTTCATTTCAAAATTCATTTTAAGCATTAATAGGCCCCACAAAATCCTTGTGTATCCCAACAATATTTATGTCATCCGCATAAATATATATAATGCAAAAGTCATCATCAAATGATTTCTTAATAAAGATACATCGACAAATCTTATGATGGTTTATATGTTCACATCAATTAGATCATTGTTATTTCCCAATGTATTTTGATCTAGGTGTTTCACATCCCCAGTATTGATCTTATTTGGAGCACGAACAGATTCACTGGCGGTTATCCATTTGCATGGCAATTAGAAGCTTTTTGGAGTGAGTGAGACGTTTTACCAATTGATTTTTTGCTGATTTAAATTTTTTGCAACGACTGGTCTCTCATGCTTCTGGTGATGGGAATTGTCAGTATGTATACTCGGTCCGATCCCTTAGGGATTTTTACAGTTCTACTCTTGGCAGAGCATTCTCAACAAGGATATGAGATCTAGTCACTTCTCTATGGTCAGCAAAAGCATCTGACTGATTATTTGTTAAAATTTGTAAATTAATGATCTTCTAAACTTTCAATTAGTTTAACTAGTGTGTGAGTTTAAGTACGTAAGATTTTTTATAGCATGAAATTTCTTAATATTTTGTTAAATATGAGCATTTAGCGTACCTTGTAGTAAATTGATCGCTTGTCATGGACTCTAACATATATACATAGCTTTCGTTGTAGGCCCATGGTAGTACGATGAGTAGGTGGTATAGAGGTATAAACTACACACCCAAATACACATATATGAAAAATAGTTAATTCTATGCCACGTACTAATTGTCAAAAGGAAATAGTCATGATATACAATAGTCTGGAGTTGTATTTATACCTTTAAAATGTAACTAAAGAAGAATAAGTTGTGGCACACTTGTGAAAGATAGACATTTCTGGTGATGAAGACTTACGCCATGTGTTGTACATGGAGGCAAAATGTCATGAGATGGATTATAAGCCACAACTTGTTCTAAGGGACTTTGGGAAGTCATGACACCTTGTGTAGTTAGATATAATAATCGTGTGATATAAAAGTTTAATATTCTCTATGTCTCATTTTATCTATTATACTTACTATTAATTGGTCAAATTAACTCTTTATTCTTTGTTTATTTTGTTTAGTATTTTTTACTTATTTTTAATTTTTTTTTTTTTTTTGTGTTTAATAATACTTTTAGTATAGTTTTAAATATATAAATTTTGTATACTAATACTAAACTTAATATTATGAAAAATTGAATTAAAAATAACTACAGTCAAGTTTTGTTAAATTGACACATAAAATGAGACAGAAGAAGTATTAAATTACTAAATTCTATGTATATTTATATATTATTGTAATAAAATACAAATGTTTAAAACTCTGTTTCATCAATAATATGGTTTGTCTGCCTCTTTTTTTTTTTTTTGAATGCTACTGACTCTATTACATTGTAATATATGTTTAAATATACTTTCTCAACCATATGAAAGGTCACTACATGTCATCTAAGCACAAGGTGTTTGGCATTTGTTTCTTAATTTATTTTTGTAATTTCATGAATATAAAATCGTGCCTGCATAAGTAGCTCAACTGGTCATAGAGATAAAACTTTTGAAGAATGATTAGGAAGAGTGGGGCTCCTTGTGCGCACCTTTTGGAGGAATGAATATAGAATCGTAAACCATTGATACGCTCCAAAATTTAAAGACCATAATTATTCAAAATTAGATGATTTAATTTAATGCGGTTTGAAAGGTGTGATGGATTAGAAAAATAAAATAAAATTTGTGGCACACCGTAAATCAACTTGGAAACAGTACAGAACCCCACGAATGCCTGAGAATCTAGTGGCACCCATCGTAATTTTCTTGAAATGGGAGGTGTGTTTTGTAAGTATATACGGCATATAAGAAAGAAGGTGAATCACGTTAGTCATAACTCATAAACGTGTATTTAAACGTTATGGACTGTGCCTCCAAATCTAGACTATTCTATTCTACAGAAACTGCAAAACAGCGTTGATTGCGCCAACCGGAAGGTGAGTTTTCTTCAACTCCATGGAAATATCTTTGATTTTTTTTTGGTTGTGTTTTCTCTTTGATTTTGAGATTCCGTTTTTCTCTTTGCGCAGAAGTGTTGAGGATCATACAGAATGGAAGCGGCAGCTGCTCTTCGGCCTTCGGTCGGCGTCTGTTGTGGGCCAGTCAAGTCCGGCTTCCTTTCTATCCATGTCGCGCCGGATTCTTTCAGATTCCGATCCAATTCCCCGTTTTCTGCATCTAGGATCAAGGTACCTTGATCGCTGATTCCTTTTCCTTTCTCTGATCGGTGTGTGCATTGTGAATACGTGAAACGTGTAAAATATGCTGCTCTTAATTGTTTAGTGTTTTTTTGGTTGATAAATTTTGATATTGGTCGATTTTGTATTCGAAAATTAGAAGTATGTATTACGATACTCGGTGATTTGTCTAAGAAATCAAAATTATGAAAAGCTGTAACAAAAATTTGGTGAAGAAAAGCGAACTAATATTTTAGAAACTCCTTGCTTATGCTGGTGTATTGAAAGCGATTCTGGAAGGAAGTTCTTATGTCATTAATCATCATCCTAATTCTTTGTCTTTCTCTATGGAATAAACATGCTCCTTGTTCAGTTTCTTAATCTAGAACATCTAATATTTTATTGATTTGAAGTATTTGTTAGTTAAGTGCAGTGATTGAGAGAATCTCAACCGAATGATGATAATTGCTAACGTTAATTCATCTGATGATCTTAGATGTGGCAAGCCACTAAATTGTTTAATATTAATGAAAACAGCTTACAAGTAATAGATGTGCCTCCTTTCAAGGAATTAAGGAAGTGTGTCTCATCACTGATGCAGCATAATCTAGGCTGTATTGTATTTGCCATCGAATTGTTTGCAAAACTCACATTTGATTAATAATCTGAGATGAAGCTTTGTTTCACACTGTTTGAAATTTGTTGTAACTCACATCTAGCAGTTCCATTGTTATTAAATGCTGAGCTGATTTTTTCCTGCATGGCAGCTGCACCCTTCTGTTTCTCATGTGAAGTCAGGCAATCAGAGAGTGGGATTTAGGAGTGCAAGATGCAATTCAATTAGAGCGTCATTGTCACCTTCTGATTCTGGAGATTCTGATGTCCCCATTGCTCCACTTCAATTTGAATCTCCAATTGGACAATTTCTCTCTCAGATTTTGACGAATCATCCACATCTTGTCCCTGCGGCAGTTGATCAGCAACTTGAACAGCTTCAGAACGATGATGATGCAGATAAGCAGAAGGATGAACCATCTGTATCTGGCACCGACCTAGTTTTGTACAGGTGAATATTTGAGTTGGTTGCAGACCATTCTGACCTCTCTCCCTGGGTATAAGCAGGCTGTAGGCTAGAAGGCAGGGGGTCTTCTTGGGCAATGGGTACTACTACTTGGTTACGTACACGTAATCAATCGATAGTTCTCATCATAGAGATGAAACTATTGTAGAATTAAATAAGTCAAGAATGTTCTTTCTTTCATCCCCACAAATGTTTTTAGAAAGTAGTTTTGAAATCCAAATCTTATTAGTGTTTTCATTTTTGTTGTTTTTATCTTTATTGGAATTTTCAGGAGAATTGCAGAGGTCAAGGCCAAAGAGAGGAAAAAAGCCCTGGAAGAGATATTGTATGCATTGGTGGTGCAGAAATTCATGGATGCTGGGGTACCTTTGATTCCAGCCATAACTTCACCATCATCGGATTCTTCTGGTCGGGTAGATATATGGCCTGGTAAAGATGAGCAACTTGTATGCCTTCATTCACCTGAAGCTTACGAGATGATTCAAAACCACCTATCTCTCATTCTAGGAAATAGATTGGGTGATGGTGATATTCAAATAAGCAAGTTTAGAGTTGGCCAGGTTTATGCTGCATCTGTCATGTATGGCTACTTCCTTAAGCGGGTTGACCAGAGATTCCAGCTAGAGAAGAACATTAAAGTTCTTCCTGAGGGAGTAGACAGAGAAGGTAGTGACATTCTGCAAGTTACAGGGGAAGAGTTGAGATCTGATGATAGCTATAATGCTCCTTTGAGCTCCACACAATCCCATCCTGAAGTCGAATCATTTTCTGCTGGCGATATCAGTCCCGGGGGTCTCGGCCATGGAATAAAGCCATCAAGATTGAGATCCTATGTGATGGCACTCGATGCGGAAACTCTTCAGAGATACGCAAACATCAGATCCAAAGAAGCCATAGGAATGATTGAGAAACATACTGAAGCATTGTTTGGTAGACCTGAGATTGGTATCACACCTCAAGGAACCATAGATTCTTCCAAAGATGAAGTTATTAAAATTAGTTTCAGTGGTCTGAAAAGGCTTGTTATGGAGGCTGTCACTTTAGGGTCCTTCCTTTGGGACGTCGAGAGCTATGTCGATTCAAGGTACCATTTTGTTACCCAGTGATCATTTGTCACACTGCATCACACAATTGTATCTGCTGGAGGATTAGATGAGTGAATGCAGTACCATTCTAGGGGTAAATGCAATTATTCTTGTGTCGATTATTTGTACATAATTACAGTATTTTGATGATTTAATGATATACTGCTTGCTAAACTTTACCAAAAGTCCAAAATTAACTTCTCAGATGAGCTATTGATGCGAGAATGCTAGTAGCCTGCTTTAAAATTTTGCCTAACACTACTACGGCAATTTATATCGTGGAGCGGGGCGCGCTACGCGCCCTGACGGCAATTTATATCGTGCAGCGGGGCGCGCATTGCATTGTGCGTCCTGATGCAAAATGACGTCGTTTCAGATTTTTTTTTTTTTTTTTTTTTAAATTTTGCTACACAGTGTTAGCGGTTAATTTTCCTTTAAAAAAATCTCATGTTAAAAAATGTACATAATTTTATACTAGAATACACATAATTATATACATGAATGTACATAATTGTATAAACAAATACATATAATTGTATAAACAAATACACATAACTGTATAAAAAAATATACATAATTGTATAAACAAATACACATAATTGTATAAACAAATACACATAATTGTATAAATAAATACACATAATCTCGTCAACTCCCTACATAACTTACCAAAACGACGTCGTTTTGGTAGGCGTGGAGTTAGACCTGGCAATTATGGACACGACCCGTTAACACGACACGAAACCGGACACGAAAATACGGGTTAGTGTTTCGCCTTAATGTGTCTCGAGTCGTTAACGGTTGACCCGTTAAGGACCCGTTATGTTTCGTGTCTTAGTGGGTCAACCCGTTAAACCTATTAAAATTCGTTTAACCCGTTAATATTATCGTGTTAACCCCGTTAACACGAACCCGTTTACTAAACCTGTTTGTAACCCGCTAAGAACCATTGCCATTTAGGTAAGAACCATGGTCATGAATGAGATTAGAAAATTCCCGCTAAGAACCATTGCCATTTAGGTAAGAACCATGATCATGAATGAGATTAGAAAATATATTATGAACATGACTAATGATGAATTTACTACATTTGGCCAAGATCCTACCCCATTAAACAATTTAAAATTTGAATGTTTATTGTGTTCAATTTGATTCTAAAAACTAGTATGGACTCATTTAATTATGATTTTTAGATGTTATTTTATCATTTTATGAATGTTATGGATTGAAAATTTTTTAGTTTGTTTGATAGATTGAATTGTAGGTTTTATTTCTTTTTTATAGAACTTAACTTTAAATTTTAGTTTTTTTTATTTTATTTATAAATATATTAATAGAAATAGCGGGTTTAAACGGATTTCGTGTCATATCGTGTCAACACGACTTGAAACCTGTTAACAAAACGTGTCTATCGTGTCAACCCGTTTAACCCGTTAACAAATCGTGTTCGTGTTAAAAATTTAGACCCGTTAACAATAACGTGTCGTGTCCGTGTTTAGCCTTATCGTGTTCGTGTCGTTATCGTGTCGACCCGTTAACAGACCGGTATACACGAATTGCCAGGTCTGCCGTGGAGCCGGCCACAGTGCTATGTGCGTCGTGGTGCGGGGTATAACAATTGCACTACTACACAACAGGGTTTTAACGTCGGCTGCACCCAAGCTAAGCCCTCCTAAGAAATAAAGTTACGTCTCCGTAACTTTCATGCAAGTTCTTACCCAAGCTATATAGAAATCCATTATCAAAATAATCAAACAATCACCATTAAAAAAAAAAAAGCAAATATGTAGCAAAATAAAATCACCGAGTTATCAAATAACAAATATCAAAATATTGCACCATGACCAAATAATTATGCAACAATGCAAGGTCGCACATCCTCACCACGGGTTTATTTTTAATTCCTAGCTAATTCTATTTTCTTATATCCTCAAAAATTCACAACCTAGGCTCTTATACATTCTATGTCCAAAATTTAACAGCCTAGGCTCCCAAAGGTTCAAATAATTAATCATTCAACGTCGGCTATTTACGCCCTTTAGCGTTAGCTAAATACTGACGTTGTTCTGGGCGACGTTGTATAGAAATCATACGACGTCGGTTATTTAAATAGCTGACGTTATATATATTTTTTTAATTTAATTATTAAATACCTACAAGTGTGTAGGGATGTCAACGGGGCGGGGTGGGGGCGGGGGACATACCCCCATCCCCGTCCCCGACTTTCTTCCCATTCCCCGTCCCCATCCCCATCCCCATCCCCGTCGGGGAATAAAAAATCCCCCCATCCCCATCCCCACGGGGATTATTCGGGGACAGGGAATCCCCACCCCCGTTAATAAGTTATAAAAAAAATTAAAAAAAATTTAAATAAAGAACGCATATATGTTCATCCCCAACTCAAAGTTGTATTCAATATTTTACAATTAAACATTTTATTTAAATACGCATGACATACAATGACAAGAATACTTCTAAAATTATATATATTGTATACAAAGTACTACATTTGTGTGTGTTGTGTGGCAATATATGTATATATATATATATATATATATATATATATATATATATATATATATATATATATATATATATATATATATATATATCGGAGACGGGGCGGGGCGGGGAGAGTACTCCCCATCCCCGCCCCCGTTCCCGGGGGGATTCAAAATTGTCCACATCCCCATCCCCGATTCCCTATTTCTGTCCCCATCCCCGTCCCCGTAGAGGCGGGGAATCGGGTTCCCCGTCGGGTGCGGGTTCAATTGACATCCCTACAAGTGTGGGTGAGCTATATTTTTGACATGACATGTAACCTAGGGGCAAAGTATACTATTGCTATGAATAAAGGTTATTTTTAATATATTGAAGGTTCATTTTTAATACATAAATAATTGGTCATTTTTAATATATTGAAGATTTATTTTTAATACATAAATAATAAATCTTAAAAAATAACATTTAATGTATTAAAAATGAATTTTTAGTATATTAAAAATTATCTTATATAAGTAGTTCATCTTTGTTTTTGGTATAAGGAATTGAAATCTAGATTCATCTTTAAAAGAATCAATCATTATACAGTGGATCATGATCTACACAGTTATGTAGGTCCTATGCTCAAAAAGTAAAATGAAATTACAGTATATATCTAAAATGAAACTGAATAACATATCTCACACATTAAGTGTATATTGTCAAATGAAACTGTAGTTGAATTAGAATGATATTTTAGTGGAGCTGTAATAAAACTACAATGCGTGTAAAATGAAACTCAATAACATGTATCACATATTTGAGTGTATAATGCCTAATGAAATTGTAGTTGAATTAAAATTATCCTTTAGTGGTGTTGTAGTTAAACTACAATGTGTATAACATAAAAAATTCAATACCAAGTCTCATATATTGAGTGTATATTATTAATTAAATAAAATTGTAATTGAATTAAAATAATATTTTAATTGTGCTATAATTAAATTACAGTATAAATAAAATGAAACTGAATATATAATAAAAATAGAATTAGTTGGACGTAATGGCCTAACGGGTATCGTTTTTTTTTCATTAAAAGAAACAATACCATTTTGGATTATGAACCACACTAAATTTGCCTAAAAGGATAGCCCTTTATTATATAATTGTAATATATATATATATATATATATATATATATATATATATATATATATATATTATTAAAATTTCTATCAAAACATGAATTTTTTTTAAAAAAAATATACATCTAAAATTTTAATTAAGAGGTAAAAAAATCATCCACCCAACTTTAATCTCAATTATTTTAATCATTTTTATACAAAAATCAATCAAAAATTATGTATTCAAATAATATCTATACAAAATTACAAAGTATACAAAAAACATGTATTTAAAATTTTCGTTAGAATTTTAGAAAGCAAAATCCTATTCTAAGATTATGAATGTATTGTTAAAAAAAGACCAAATTAGGCACAATCATATTATTACATTAATTGTCTCTTTTTAGGTGTTTTTTTTTTTTATTTCACGCAAATTAGTCACTAGCAAAACATAGGTGCATATAGAAATAAAGTATAATGTAAGATTATATTATTATTGTACAAGTGTAAGGTATGGAGTCATACCGAATGTGTGGACTTAAACTTGTAGATTTAATATTGTACACTTTCGAATTAAGAACATGAAAAAAGTGAAGTATAAAATAATTAAGGAAACAGTTTAAAAGTGCATAATATAAACTCAAGTTTATTACTGAAATGATTCCTCGACTATTACGAAATTACCAATTTGGTCCATGATAATTTTTCTTACCCAATTAAGTCCTCTGACTTTGAAAATGTTAACTATTTTGGTCCTTTGTTAAAATTCCATCCATAAACTGTTAAATTTAAGGACAAAAAGGTAATTTATTTATTAAAGCTTGTCTTCTTCTTGATTAGAGAAGGTGAATCGATCGTTAAACTGAATAATAGGAAAATACAGAGATATATCCTATAACAAAGACTATCCTATGCCTGAGTAATAGCATCTAAGTATAACTACTGTATACTAGTCTATTACCACACAAATACAATCATATACTATAAATAATAATATGGAAATAATAGCTATACTAATACACCCCCTCAAGCACAAGGCTGGAGAGCGTCCACATTGAGCTTGCCACGTAGAGCAGCGAAGCGCGGCCCAGGTAAAGGCTTCGTGAAGATGTCAGCTAGCTGATCCGTAGTAGAAACATAATTGACGACGAAGTCTCCTGAAGCAACTTTGTCGCGTATAAAGTGATAGTCAATCTCAACGTGTTTCGTCCTGGCATGGAAGACCGGATTGGCACACAGATATGTTGCTCCCAGATTGTCACACCACAGCGTCGCGGGATGCCCTGAATGGAGACCCAGTTCCCGTAACAACGAAACAACCCAAGTTACCTCAGCGGATACATCGGCAAGGGCCTTGTACTCTGCTTCTGTGGATGATCTGGCTACCGTGGGCTGCTTCTTGGACAACCAAGACACAAGGTTCGAACCCAAATAAACTGCAAAGCTACTCGTACTCTTCCTGTCTAGCGGACACCCAACCCAGTCAGAGTCGGAGAAGGCATGAATCGTAGTCGATGAAGATGGTGTAAGCCGTAGCCCATAGTCAAGTGTCCCCTTGATGTAGCGTAGGACACGCTTGACGAGAGCCCAATGATCAATCGTCGGTGAGTGCATGAACTGGCATAGGCGATTGACAGCATAAGACAAGTCAGGCCTAGTGATGGTCAAATGCTGTAATGCCCCTACAATACGCAGATACTGTGTTGGGTTTTCAAACAGTTGTTCTGAGGGTGTCATTGCCTTCGTAATCGCAGCTAGTGTGGCAAGAGGCTTACAGTCTAGCATCCCAGACCGCCCCAGTAGGTCTTTCATATAACGACGTTGTGAGAGAATTAGACCCGTGCCTGTAGTGATTGTTTCAATTCTCAAAAAGAAGCTTGGTGTTCCAAGATCACGGATTTTGAAAGTTGAGGACAGGCGTTGTAGGAGTGTGTTTACAAGATGAGAATTGTTGCCCATAATTATAATGTCATCAACATAAACCAATAAGAACACACGAGACTCTCCTGCAGTATAGTAAAAGAGAGAAACATCTGTCTTGGATGAGTTGAACCCTGCAGATAACAAGAAATCATGAAGACGTTTAAACCATGCCCGGGGGGCCTGTTTCAGACCATAAAGCGACCTTTTGAAGGTGGCAGACATGTCCTGGATTTGCTGGGTCTTCATAACCCGGTGGTTGTTTCATGTAAACGGTCTCTGCTAGATGTCCGTTCAGAAACGCATTATGAACATCTAACTGACGTAGAGTCCAACCGTTTGAGACAGCTAGAGAAAGAAGCATACGGACTGTGGTCGGTTTGACCACATGGCTGAAAGTGTCAAAGAAGTCTTCTCCTGCGACTTGATTGAACCCTTTGGCCACAAGGCGTGCCTTGTGCCGCTCGATCGAACCATCAGCGGTTCGTTTTGTACGAAATACCCACTTACAGCCAATTATATTCATGTGGGGTTCGGGCGGTACAAGTCGCCAGGTGTTATTGTGGAGTAAAGCATTAAACTCCTGGTCCATGGCTTCACAAAAATGTGGGTGTCTCACTGCTTGGGAGTAACACGTGGGATCAGTAGACACATTAAGGGCCTGAAACGGCTCATCTGTTCCCCGAGTCATGTGACGGAGACGCATGATGTGGTCCTCGACTTGCGGTTGGGCTCGGGCCCTGCGAGTTCTCACCGGGGCAGTATGAGTAATCGCAAGCCGCGGTGATTTGCGTGCCAGTGGCACGGGTTCATCCGAACTCGGTATAGGCCCATCTGAGTTATGGCTTGTTATCGTGCTCGGTGCGGGCCCTTTTGGCGGAGCGTGAGCTACAAGAGGTGCTGCAGCCCATGGTAGCTGTGGCGGTATAGCGCCCTTCTGTGCAGAATCTGTAGAAAAAGGGAAAACAGATTCGTCAAATCGGACATGACGACAGATATAGGTTTTCCCGTTTGTCATGTCAAGGCATCTGTATCCCCTAAAGGAAATAGGGTAACCTAAGAATACACATGGTGCCGAGCGGTATTCAATCTTGTGCCGATTATATGGGCGAAGATATGGATAACACCGGCACCCGAAGACACGAAGGAACGTATATGGGGGAGAATTTTTAAAGAGACGAGTGTATGGACTTTCAAATTGTATGGCTGAGGAGGGTAGGAAGTTGATTAAACAGGTTGTAGTTTCAAATGCAAAGTCCCAGTATTGATGGGGTACATTGCCTTGGGCAAGAAGGGCAAGGCCGGTTTCGACGATGTGTCTATTCCGACGTTCTACCCTCCCGTTTTGTTCATGTGTATAGGCACATGATTGACGGTGGTTTATGCCCAATTTTTGAAAAGTTGTGTGTAATTTTCTGTACTCACCCCCTAAATCCGACTGAATAGACTTGATAGAACGCGCAAATTGGCGCTCTACCAACACACGAAACGACTCGAAGGTTTTATATATGTCTGATTTTACCCGTAACAGATAAAACCAGCAAAATCTGGAAAAATCATCTACAAATAATAAAAAGTAACGAAAACCACTAGTTGATATTACAGGCAACGGACCCCAAATGTCCGTGTAAATCAAATCTAATACATTTTCGCTACTACGAGAGACATTGTCTAATTTGAAACGCGATGATTTGCCAAGGTGACACGGGGCGCATGACTCAACTTGTTCAGTTTTATTTCTGATGACCGGGCAACTTTTGAGAACTTTATTTTGAACAAGCTTATGTGGATGACCGAGCCTGCGGTGCCAAACAGTGGGATTGGCACGGGAACTTATAAATGCGAAACCTGACCGAGACAGCGGGAGCTTGTACAGACCACCTGTGGTGGGACCCCTAAGCAGAACCGCTTTGGTTGTTGAATCCTTCACAAAAAGACAAGAATTGTGAAATTAAAAAAAAAAACGTTATTACCAGTAGTAAATTTATGTATTGATAAAAGGGGTACAGATAAATTTGGGACATGTAAATTATTGGTTAATTTTAAGGCTTTTGACGCGGATGGGATTGATGCATGACCGACTCGCGAGATTGCCAAACTTGCGCCATTTCCAACCCGAAGAACATCAGGCCCGCCATATTCATCAGATTGTGCCATCATCCCTGCATCTGGAGTAGCATGCGCGGTGGCTCCGGTATCCGGATACCAACCGTCGCTCGGAGGTGACGCCGCTGCCGGTGGTTCATCGGAGAGCGCTACATGAGCCTATGCCGGAGGCGGTTGAGTCGTGTATCTTTTATAGCAATATACCGCGGTGTGGCTGTGTGACCGGCATATCTGACACCGCGGAGCCCCGCGTCCGCCACGACCTCCGCCCCGGTTCTGCCCGCCACGGCCGCCACCCGACTGCTTGCCGCGACCAGGAGACGCCTGCCCCTGCCGTCCGCCTCCACAGTACTGGCCACGGCCTGGATTGCTGTACAGGGCAGTGTGCGACGCCGTGCCGTCTGCCGTCAGGTAATCATCCACGAGGATGAACTCGTGGGCCTGCAAAAAATCTAAAAGGTGAGAAAGTGTCACCGGATTCCCGGACGCAGTGAGGGATGCCGCCAACGATTTGAGCTCCGGTCGGAGTCCACGAAAAACGTAGAGATTCTGCTCCATGAGGGAAAGTAGCCGGCCGGCCTGAACCAGTGACTCAATGAGAACCCTCGCCCTTCCCAGGTAGTCGGCGGTGGTGGAGTTCCCTTGGCGTAACACCTGTATCTGCCCCAACAGATTTAAACACCTGGCTTGACTGGAGGACCCGAGTGCATTAGTGATGGAAGTCCATACCTCGGCTGCAGTATTCCGGCCGAGCGCCAAGTGCAGTACCTCATCAGACATGGAGGATACTAATAACGAAAGAATTGATTGGTCTTGCTTCACCCAAGCGTGGTATGCCGGATTCGGAGCGGACACGGTTGCTGCCGCACCGAAGGATCCCTCAGAATTTGTGGCAGCGGGAATGAAGGCCGGAGGGCACGGGCAGGTTCCGTCTACATAACCGAGGAGTTCTTGTCCCCGGAGGAAGGGAATCAGCTGTGTTCGCCAGAAAAGAGAGTTTCTGGATGTCAGCTTCATCGATATGTAATGATATGCTCCAGCAAGAGAGCCACCGCCGGCCGGCGTAGGGGAGCCGGCTGCTGAGACAGTGTGCTCGGAGGAATTCTGCGACATGGCCGGAGAGTGAGGGGTGAGAGAGGGTAAGTTTGTGCGGTGGAGGTAGAGAGAGAATCGAAACCCGTCTGATACCAGATTAGAGAAGGTGAATCGATCGTTAAACTGAATAATAGGAAAATACAGAGATATATCCTATAACAAAGACTATCCTATGCCTGAGTAATAGCATCTAAGTATAACTACTGTAGACTAGTCTATTACCACACAAATACAATCATATACTATAAATAATAATATGGAAATAATAGCTATACTAATATTCTTAACTATCCACTCCTTTAATTTACTGTTATGGGAATCCTTTGCAATGGCCATCGAATGGAGACTGGTTTATAATCAGATAGAAAAATAATTGGCCCAAAATACACAGAATCCTCCAGAAAAACTGATGAATACAACCAATTCTAAAGATTGAAATGAATTGAAACATGCATCTTACCCTTCACTGACCAAGTTTAGTGCCAAGTTCACCAAATTGGAAGACAATCCGATCGTCGCTGGCTCTGGAATTGGAAGAGCCGTCTCTATCTCTATCGTCGCGCCGCCGTTGCCGTTGCTATCTCTCTTCCCCAACAACCCGTTTCTGAAGATCGAGAAGTCCATCTTGAAGCACGACGCCGCGCTGCTCGGAGACGACAACGCCGCCGCGTCCTCGGCCTCCTCCGCCACCACGCCCGCCGGCCACCAATTCATATCCAGCGGCTTCACACCCGCCTCAGGGCCCACATTGAAACCAACCCAAATCAAATATGAAAAAAACCCAAAAGAAAATCATAAAATGAAAGCCGTCGTTAGATCTGCCTCCCAAACTTATCGCTGCTGAGGTCTCCACCATCACGAACCACCTCCCAAACAAGAACTGACCTGCAAGTTCAGATGCATCAGAAATTCAGAGAAGTTTGGTCTGTGTTTAGTCATCATCCCCAATAGCTTTTATCCTTAAATTACCCTTTTGTCCTTAAATAAAATATATAAAATTACCTATTTATCCATAAATTTAACATCTTATGGATGGAATTTTAACAGCTGATCAAAATGGTTAACATTTTTAAAGTCAGAGGACTTAATTGAATAAGAAAAATTGTCGAGGACTAAATTGATAATTTCGTAATAGTCGAAGGACCATTTCGGTAATAAACTCTATAAACTCTAAAAAAAGTCAAGTCTATGTTCACAAAGGAAATCCACTGATCCAAGTTTTAGGCAAATTTGATCTACACAGTGTTGCGTGGATCATAACAAAAAGTATATTTTAAATAGATATTAATATCATTTGGGGTCCTTCGAGAGTTTGAGTGTAATGGTTTTGTCACGTTTAGTCATAAATTTTCAAGTTGATCACCCATGGTCCTTTGACTTTCAAATTGTTACCATCTGTAGTTCAAGTTAACCACCTATGGTCCATCAACTATCAAATTTTAACCACCCAGGGTTCTTTTAAGAGGACCACGACTGGTTAATTTTTGAAAATTGAAGGACCATGGGTGCTTAACTTGGACCATAGATGGTAACAATTTGAAAGCCGAAGGACCACGGGTGGTCAATTTAAAAGTCTAGGACTAAACGTGGCAAAACCACTATACTCGGAGGACCTCATATGCCATTAACTCTTTTTACATTCTGTATGTATAGTTATGAAGTTATGGATGTGTAGTTATGCAATTCTGAATGTATAGTTATGAAGTTATGGATGTGTAGTTATGCATGCAATTCTGAATGTATAGTTATGAAGTTATAATTTCACATTCTGAATGTATAGTTATGAAGTTATGGATGTGTAGTTATGCAATTCTGAATGTATAATTATGAAGTTATAGATGTGTAGTTATGCATGCAATTCTGAATGTATAGTTATGAAGTTATAGATGTGTAGTTATGCAATTCTGAATGTATAGTTATGAAGTTATGGATGTATAGTTCAAATTATGCACAACATACGCCGTTAACGGCAATCGAAACAGATTTTTTTTTTTTTAAAAGTTGGACGTCAAAGCGACGTCGTTTTTGCAACCGTGTGCCCCTAACCCCAACGCTTGTGGCTAGCTAGCCTGATTTTAGGATAGGCAATGAATTGGCCCTCACCTATGGCGGCAAATTATGCTGTGCATCTGTGTGCACCATGCATGGTGCATAAGGATGCAAAAACGACGTCGTTTTGACTAAAAACGTGCATCCAACTTTAAAAAAAAAAATCAGTTTCGATTCCCGTCAACAACATTATGTTGTGCATAATTTCTGAATGTATAGTTATGAAATTATGGATGTATAGTTATGCAATTCTGGATTTATAGTTATGAAATTATGGATGTGTAGTTATGCAATTCTGAATGTATAGTTATGAAGTTATGCAATTATGGATTTATAGTTATGATGTTATGGATGTGTAATTAGGTAATTCTAGATGTATAGTAATGAAGTTATGGATGTATAGTTATGCAATTCTCGATGTATAGTTATGCAATTCTGGATGTATAGTTATGTAATTCTGGATGTATAATTATGAAATTATGGATGTGTAGTTATGCAATTCTGATTTTTTTTTTTAAGTCGACGTCGTTTTTGCATCTGTGTGCACCATGCATAGTGCACACGGATGCACAACATAACGACTCCACCTATGGCTAGAACCGTCAAAACGGGTTTTGGCCATCAAACCGGTCAGTCCCGCCCCCTACTTAGGCAATCATTATTGCGTGAGCTGTGATCCACACATAAAGTATATTATTCTAACTCATAAAATACATTATCTTAATGATAGCGAATATTGGATCGGGGTCACGACTGACTAAGCGCCCTTCTACTTGCTCACTATATACATATTCGTAGCGTAGTCTTGACCTCCGGTCTAATTTACGCTAGCTATCACTTACCTAGAAATATTAGTATTATAACGCATATAAAGTACATTTTTCTAACACATGCAGTACATTATTTAAACTCATAAAATACATTATCTTACCCTAGAATGTTCATTATTCTAACACATGCACGGAGCAACGAAATTTTTTTAAACATCAAAACGACGTCGTTTTGGACCATGGTCGACACAATAATTTACCTTACTTAGATAGGGGTGGGTTTCGAAAATAAAGGCCCACCAAAGAGCGGATTGTTTTTTAACGTCCTGGGGGCTAGCACGCGAAAGCCATTTATTTTCTATATATATATATATATATATATATATATATATATATATATATATATATAAATGTTGATGAACTTTAGAATTATTGGTTAATGTTTTAAAATTTAAGTTAATATTTATGTAACAAGTAGGTGATATTAAAGAATATAATTGACATCTTTCATTAATGATGTTGAATTCCGTTTTGCAAAATGATCTGTGAATTAGGTTGCCCACATTCTTGCTTGGGTGGCTGTTTTTATGCTAGATTGTGAGGAGTGGTTTGATGTGCCACCAGGTTTTCTAGTAACTTGTCTCGGAGATGATTTAATGCATTAAGAAAAAAAATAAAAAATTATGTAACAAGTTATTTTAATTATTTTTATAGTGTATAAATGGTAAAACTTAACAAAGTGACAAATTAATAAGAACAAGAAAAAAAAAAAAGGGTCGGGGACGGGGTCCGCCTAGCCTGCGGTCCAAGAGCGAGGCGAGGCAGGGCGGGCAAGCAAAACCTAGGCTTACCAAAGAGCGGATTTTTTTGACCTACCCTATCGGCCCGCTTTGACAACTCTACTTATGGCTAGCCGATCAGCGGTGCAGTGCAGGGCCAGGGGAAGAAGGATTTTTTTGGTGGGCATGTGTTGGTCTAAGTGTTTCGACTTCCTTGATAATGTGGCAGGTTGGCAGAAAAATAGTGGCTAGTAAGGATGCATGTGTGGCTATGGCTTGTGAAACGGTCGTTGGTGTCGTTTGGTTGCCTTCTCTGGTGATTGGAGACGGTGACCAGATGGGTCGCCTTCTCGAGCCGCCGGAGAAAGCAACCAAACAACACTGGCGACCATTTCACTAGTGTTTTTTTTTTTTTTTTTTTTTTTTTTGTCGAAATATAGTCAGAATCTTGTCGTTGGTTCGCTGAAACCCTAATGACCTGTAATTATAGGTCACCAATCGATTTTTGGGCCTTAATGCTCTAAGAGCATCCACATTAGTTGGGGAGATTTGGGAGATAATGTAAGAGTGATTAGGAAAGAGAATGTGGGAGGGAAAAAAATAACAAAACAGAAATTGAAGGAAAAAAAATTAATAAAAACATGACGCGTCAGGCGCGCTGTCAGCGCGCTTGACGCGCTACACGGGCGTGTGCATTGCACGCGCCCGTGTAGCCATTGGTTGTGCGCAAACGCGCACAGTCAGTGTTGTTTTTTATTTTTCTTTTTTTTCCCTTGACATTATCTTTGTATTTGCATAACAAATATTTTCACAAATAACCCCACCCCACATTTATTATTAACCCCACCCAAGATAATTCATCTGACAATAACTCCGTAATAACCACTGATGTGGATGCTCTAAAATAATATGTCTAAGGGTTTAATTGCAACCTTTAAAAGTTTAAGGGTCTAATTGACTTCTTAAGTAATGTATTTGGGGCTTATTTGATCCTTTTTCCTAAAGAAAAATAATATAATTTAAAGATGGATCCTTTACATATAGAGGTTTTCAAAAAAAAAAAAAAAACATATAGAGAAGAAGTAAAGTAAAATTCAAAAAGGAAATTATGAAAATAGTTAAAATGAATTAATTAATTCATGAAAGTACGGTGTAAAATCTAATTTAATAAACAGAAGAGCTATAATATATATGGAGAGAGAGAGATGATTGGGGAATTGCTACCTCAATCTCTCTTTTATTTTATTTAATTTTTCTTCCTTTCTTCCTCTTCCCTATTTCCTTAGCTTTTAGATCAGATATTTCCCCTCCAAGAAGGAAGCCATTATTGTAAATGGATAGCTTCAGGAAGGCCTATGGGGCTCTCAAAGATTCCACCCAGGTTGGCCTAGCCAAGGTCAACAGCGAATTCAAGGTTATTTCTCAATTTTTACATTTTGTTTTGTTTTTTTTTTTTAAATTAACAAAAACAATTCAATCTTTAATTACATTTCATTTTTGTTGAATAATAGGAATTCTGTGTATTTGGGTTGTGAGTGCAGGATTTGGATGTTGCAATTGTGAAGGCCACCAGCCATGTTGAATTACCACCCAAGGAGAGGCATATTAGAAGTAAGTGATGAGGATTAATATTAATTAATGTTTTATTTCTTCATTTCCATTTTTCCAAATTCATCCATTCTTTCATCTTTAACAAAACATTTACCCAAAACAACGTTTCAATTTCATTGTCATATTTTTGGGGTGACGACTATACCTCAGTAATTATCTGAGGGTATGCACTGGGTAAGATAAACCCCGCAATATGATCTTAATCGGTAAAAGATCATGAAGTAAACCAGTTTAGGTTGATCATAGTTGACCGATTCAAATAAAAAAGGTTGAGATTCGAATACAAGTTTGTATCCTTAGTCATATCCACTGGAATTACCTCCAATTTCATTGTCATATTTATTTCAATGGAAATAGTAGAATTTGAACTTACGGGGCGTTTGGTTGGAGGGGGCAATTCCGTGGAAAAGGAATTGCAATTATGTGGGAAATGAATTGGAATTCCATAGAATATGAATTACTAGGAATAAAGTAGGAATTTAAATTCCAGTGTTTGATTTACAGGAATATAATTACTGAGAATTTTAATTCCAATGTTTGGTATACATAGGAATTGAAAAGGAATAAGTAATATAAAATTCAAAATGTCTATTGTTATTGTGGACATCAATTTTAAGTTAAAAAAAGGAAGGGGTAATTTTGTATTACCATTTTTTCTTCCTAAAATTCATGGAATTAAAATCTCGGGGGACATGGGATTTTAA